CCAACATCAGGATTTAGCGCTGAGAAAATTATATCGTATAGCATATTAATCATCAAGTATATTCATACCATTTGACATGATTGTTACAAAGATTGAAGAGCTAATCTCAATAACAGTCTATGCTTTTATTTGTTTCTTTCGTTAACTATTTACGACGCCGATTGTATTTACCACATGTCACATAGAGTTATATGCATGAAATAAATAAAGACACATACCTGAATATGTTTTAGTCCCACTTTGTTGTTATTAAACGACGCTACAAAAATATTTCTTCTATTCTTTTTTTCGTTCTGTATCTTTTTCTACTATACTCAGCCTTGAGATTATTCAACAAGCCAATCAAGCTAAAAAAAAGCAATAAATTTTATGTAGATTCGTAGTAATAGTTTTATGTATTAAAATTTTGATGTATCTTTTAATTATTATCTAAACATAAAGCAGCATAAAAATAACTTAAACGCGATAAATTTCTTTCGTACTTTGATATTCGTAATAATAAATAAAAAAGAATAGTTTGTCAAATGAGTATGACTATTGCGTAGGTTTCATTTGTCAACGTAGATTATAATAAAAATATCGCAAAAAAAAGAAATATGGTAATCATTCATATCTCGAAGTGTATTTTAAAACTTCAAGTCAGAACTCATGGTCTAGTATTAAATAGAAAAACGAGATGAAATTTTTCTGGCTTCATATCTAGACTTAACGTTTTGAATTTAAGTGTTCGAAATCATGATCGTATATATTTGCAATAGAGTCATTGTATGTAAGTAGAAGAAACGAAAATGACAAACATTGATAAGGTTGATTAGCATTGGCAAAAAAATTTTCTATTTTTTTTTTTGCCACATAAACAACTAATGATATACATCGTTTATCGGATGTTTTGTAAATTTTGACCCAGCAAAAAATTAGTTTATATACAGACAGAAAGTGTTCCTTAACCAAATGTTTTATATTAGCTTTATGTACTCGTAACAATCTTTCAAATGACATATTATATGGATGGTATGTCTTTTTGTAATTATAAAAATGTAAACATGAGAATGCGAGGATGAATATTTCGCATTCGATCAAAGTGATGTTTTTTTTTTTTTGAAAAGACTTTTTTTTAGTGAAGCGTTGAACAAGTGCTTTATAATAAATATTATAAAAGAAACCAATAATTATTTATGTTATTTGTTTATTCGGTGCTCACCTTGAGCCACTGGTTACATTTTTAACCAAGCTATATATACTCAATAACTGGATGGAAATGGATAAAATATATGCAAATTTAATATGTAAAGTAAAATATAAAGAACATTTATTGTATTATTGAACTGTTTATAAATTATTTAATAATTGAAGTTAATCTCAATAAGGTAATACTACATTTGTCGGTGTATGCTCGCTAGAAGTATATGTAAAATATTATAGGACGAAGTATGAAGAGAATAATTTCAGACTTTAAATAACTATGAACTAAGTTGAAAAAAAAAAACTTTATAATTGTGAAAGGAAAATTGGTAAAATTTCAAAGTGACTTGGTGAATAAATAAAAAGTCGTAAATAACACACACGTGATAGTGAAATGCAATTATTCTACAATCAGATTGACATATATATATATATATATGTGTTTATAAAATAGATTGTTTGTTTTTCTTTTGTAACTAATACATCATGTTGATTGATTACGAAAAATTTATCCTCAATTATTATGTTTTTATTTTTATAATTACAAGACGAGGCACCACTCAATACTATGTTATCTAAAAGACTGTCACAAGTATTCAAGGTTGGTATAAAAATATGCAATTAACGATTACTTTCTGTCTGTATATTAACTGATTTTATCGTTGCGTCTTACGACTTACTCTGTATATTGTGTTTTACATTGATTATGTGATCTCTGAAGTTTATCGAATTTTTGTACATATCTATTGTATGCGATAAAAAAAGGTTATAAAATAAAACACTAACCAATATAAAAATCAGCGACAATAGATATTTCTCTAATATTGTGTTGTATAATGTAATTTGTTAAAGAATTAATGATAAGATTTATTGAAAAGAAATTAACAATCTATCAGTAATATTTTGAGTAGTACGATTACAGATTCTTTTGATTGCTTAAAAGAAATGATCATAGAGAAAAGAATTGAGAGACTCGATCTCCTTGTTGCAAGGAAAAGTTGCACGATTAATTTACAATTTTTATGTTTACACCGACATTTATGTCTGACAGTTAATTATGCACTGATTATTGGTGCTGACACTTTGTTTATTATAATTAATGTCAAAATAACGGGTGGGCCAAAAATAATAACATTCATAGTATATTCAGAATTTCTTCTGTATTATTCGCTTGATCGAAACGTCTTTTCTTATTAGAAAATAGTATTTGAAATTCTGTATAAAATACTGTACAATTATTACTTTGAAAATTTGTTTTATATATATTTAAAAAAATGAAATGTAAAGGCATGGAAACAGTTGTATAAAATAAATATGAAAATCATCATTGAATGAACAAAGAATTCATTCTGATCTACGTAAACAGAGTATTTTCAAAGCAAGAAAATAATTTCTGGATAACAATAGTTAATAGCAATGATTCCTTCAATGTCGCAGGCCTCCAAATCCATGTCGAAAGTAACTTATTAGGTCAGAGATAAACTAGCGCTTCTCTTTATCAGAAACAGATGTCAATAAAAAAAAAATTATCTATTGAAACAAAGTACGTATTACTGCTATTGCACGAAGTTCTTGGCTATTTTGCATACATAAAGAGATCAAAAAGTTAATGTCACTGATTAGGCTGGCTTTGTAAAATGTATGTCGGCAGAACATTTTCAAGGTGTATAGATATTACCAAAGTCAAAAAACGGTGTGTTGATCACTTTTCTGCTTTTATTTCAAAGAACTGTTGACCACCATATTTATCTGACTCATATCCATTGAAATGAAACATTCCGTTCAAAAAAATTGAAAAAGAAAAAAGTTTACATTCTATACTTGTTTTTACTATACTATTTACGTTTGATCGAAAAAATGAAGGAGATTATATTCGTGAAATGAAATATACCATTTCGTGCAGAATTTCAAGGACGATCTTTTGCTAAGCAAGTGAGGTTTTAATCAAGCGAATAATAGGGAGAAAATTTGGAAAATATTAAAAGTGAAATTATTTATGGCTCACCCGTTATATGAATGATGTATATAATTAAAAGTATTTTCTTATACTTTATGATTTATATATAAAGGTATCAACGGAATATTTTCTCAGCAAATATTTATCAACAATAATGAGTAAAAAAAATAAAAAGATATCAATCGATATTTTATATCGAACAAAAAAATTAAGGGTGATAAAAATTTAAATGTCTTACTCTCAGAGCAGCAGATAATTTCTTTTATTCCAATAACAACAATAAGATCCAAACCGATAATAACAAAGAAGTTCTAACTACTATTTCTTCACTGTCTGTTAATCAATATTCTACCATCATTATTTATGTACCAATCAACGATGATGATATTGAGTCATCTGTTTCAAATCAACTAGCTATTAGAGATTTTTCATTATCATATCAATTGTTATCAGAACTAGAGATTCCATCAACAACTTATATTTTTTGAAAACGCCAAATAAGACGGAAATAATTCGACCAGTCTGTCAACTATTATGGTTGGTATCTTTGGAAGTGAATCAAGGAGTGTATAGCGAGTATTATGTTTTCTTTTCAAGGAAAGATATAAATAAAAATCTCGATCACTTTGTGAATAGGTGATTAAGATTATGAGAAGGCTCTCTTGAATATTTATCAAATTCTGATCATAAAGATTACATTATTCCAGCAATCGAATGCAACAATCGGGGTCTACATCCAAATTTAGATGTCAGATATCAGTGTCGTTAGCTACTGTCGAGGATTCATTTTTTGTCATGAAGCTAATTAAAAGTTATTTATATAGTAGGACAGGTGATAAAAGGCTTAATAGTTTAGCTACTATGAGTATTCATAAGAAAATCATTCAATAACTAGAGATGGAAACAAGTATTGATGCATTTGCCAAGTCAAAATATCGATTAACTTTTACAGATAAAAATCAATGAAGTCTTTGTTGAATTATATATATTCTTCTTTTCATTTTTTAGTACACAAAAAAGTTATCAAATATGAATATAAATAATTAATGTTATATTTAGTAAAATTCGAAAAAAAGGATTGGGTCAAAAATAATTCTTTCTGCTTGATAGGCGTTAATAATGAAATTCTGTAAAGTTGTATTTTGCTTGAAAACAAAAATATCATCTGTTTCTTTACTTTGCTTCTGATCTTTACACAAGCACTGTCAATTTATTTAATAAATGCATTTGTATATGAAAACAAAAGCTTTATGTTAAAAATACACTTGTTTGATCAAATGTTTTCATTTCACTATGAAAGATATCATTGCTGAAATGACTCCAATGATCGATCGAGCTTGAAATTCTTTTCAAAAGTACAAAATGATGTACTAAAAAACGCTTATGTTTTTGCTAAGAGCAGCTTTGCAACAGTTGGCAAAAATCATCGGAACAATACTTTTTTAAATTAAAAAAAAACAGTATACTCACTGCATTATATTCAGTATACGTGAAAAATGATCCAACTCGATGCTGAATAAATGGAGACAAAACATTACTTGTTTGGTAGAAAACTTGATTTTGAGAAAAATGCAAAAAACAATGTAATTGTCGTTGTGTCATAAATACTGATCGTTTTTCACTTTTTATTGAAGCTTTTATAGGTGTTTTCTTTTGTGTTATATGCAGTGTGGGAGTTAAAACTAGCCGAATTATAACTCGAGTTATAACTTGAGTTATAACTTTTGAGTTATAACCGATCAACTTTTTGGTCAAAAAGTTAATTTAGTTATAACTATCAACCATGGTTATAACTTTCAACCATAGTTATAACCTTCAACCCGAGTTATAAC